ATGCATTTATTCTTTATGACAATTTTTAATTATTAAGACGATATCTGTGCTGCATACAAAAGGCCTGGAATATGTCAGGCCTTGCAGAAGAGTGGTTTGTGTGAAAACGTTTCTTAATTTATAGCTGCTTAACATATAGGTGGTTTGACTTTGAATATGATAGAAACGCAGTTTTAAACAGTATGTGCCTAATCATTTTACCATCAGTCATGCATAAGTGAAAATGGGTTTGGGTCTTTGTGAATTCTCCCTGAATAGCTTTTGATTTTCTGTTGCGTCAAGATGTTCTCTGCTGAAAGGAATTGAATGTATCAGATCGCTTCACTGGTCTGGCAAAATTGAGCCTATGATTTATAGTGGAAAATCAATGGATTGCAAAATCGTGCCAATTTTTGCTCAAGTCTCCAGCACTTCACTGCACTTGGGTCTACAGTTGTTTTTTCCCGGTGACAATATTGATACATGTTTTTCTCCTTTTTTTCCCTTATTTTCCCACCTTTCCCAAAACCAAAACTTTTGCTCATGTGCATATTGACTTTTAATGTTAGAAACTCTTTACAATGGCCCGGTCCATTCTTCAGTGAAATGCAGTAATACAGTGATGTGTTACTGTTGCTTGTTGGTGCTGAAATCCTCAGAGATTCACAGACGAGGAATCAGTGGTGTAAAGTAACTGAGTAGATTTACTCAAGTACTGTACTTAAGTTATTGTACTTTACTTGAGTAATTCCATTTTATGCTACTTTGTACTTCTACCCCACTACAATTCAGAGGTTAATATTGTACTTTTACTCCACGACATTAACAAAGTACCTTTAGTTACTTTGCAGATATTAATGATAAACAATTGAATCAACCCTTAAATAAGACTTTAGTTTAACTTGGCTTAAGTAGCTACCCTGCAGTATACAAAGTTATTAAAACTAGCTGCACCTTTACCAGCTTTGACAACACTTTAATGCATCAATAATTATATCAAAACATATGATATTATTATTCTGAAATGGGCCAATCTGCATGATTATTACTTTAACTGTTGGTACTTTATGTATATTTTGATGCTGATGCTTTTCTACTTTCACTTGAGTAACATTTTGAATAAAGGACTTTTACTGGTAACAGAGTATTCTCTGGTACTTCTACTTCTACTTAAGTACAAGATCTGAGTACATATTCCACCTTTGCCAGGAATAAAGAAACGAAGATGCATAATAAACATAGATTAAAAGAACACTTGTTTATGCCAGTGTGAAAATGCTTAATAAAGTAAGATAAAAGGAAGAAATCAGAGAAAGCATCAGTAATAAAAGGACAGATTAATGTCAAGATGCGGTTTCAACAGGCTGCCATCTGGAGTATGCATCCATTTCCATTTTAATAGCACTGTTTACGGCTGTATGTCTCTAGAGAGAAGAGGACGACTACCTATGGTATGAATCATTGTTTGTCCCTCTGCGTTCTTAACATCACTCTGTCTCCTCCACTTTTGTGGTTTCAACAGAAACTGAAAACTGTGTTTATCAGTAGTGTAATCTTTTCATAAGTGTTTTCGATTTGCATTTTTATAGCCACACCTTTGTGGCACAATATTGTATCAAGTTTTTTGCTGCTCTCATTTTTTTCCAGATAATGAATAACACAAAATAAACAGTCTGCTTATGTGTGTAGACCTTTGTAATTCTTTACAATAGCTATCTATTCCTCAGTGAAAGACACAGTGCTGCCTTGCTGTAGCTTGTTTTTGCTAAGCCTGGCCTCAGATGTGGTTCTCTGTTAGGACCATGTGCCCTGCCCAAATACCAGAGCTACAAATTCAAGCCTCAACATGCTGTTCCTGTACACCACACCTATCACTACAGTCGTAAGATCATGCAGTCAGTAGTCTGTTATGCATCTGGAGCTGAAACAAGATCGTACTCCACCACTAAGCAGAGAAAGAGTCAAACTAAAGTGCTTCTCCGTTCTTCTTTACCAGTAGGAATGATATTAAAATCCCCCTTCCAGTCCGTTTCTCTGACGAATGATAATTCTACTAACATTTGAACGCTATTTCTTCATCATCTCTGTACAGCACAGAGACAGTTTTGAATAGCCAGTCAGCAGGGATTGGATAATTACCCCTGCCCCACCGTTGAGCAGCTAATTAATTTGTTCTGTGCTGCACCCCCACGGATGGCGTTGATCCCTGCACTGCAGACATGAGCTCATCAAGCTCAGCTAAGATTGGAATAATTATTATCAAAGGTCTAAAAGCAATGTTGTGGAAACCTGACACTTCCACAGCCTTAGATGTATACTGAATACTGAGATTGCATGAACTGTAAATACAGTATTGTAGCAGAAAATACCACGTCAATTAGTTTTACCATGCCATATTTACAGTATCTGCACCACAAGGGTTATGATGTAATAATGGATTGTCTTTAAGTCAATTCCTGTGGACTGATTTGCATAAACAAATAATCCCTTGGATTAACTAAACGTTTGAAGCATTAACCACTGTAATCTACTTTAGATGCAATTCAGGTTGACTCATCCTTATAATGGAGGTTGGGAAAGGAAAAGTAATGCAGACTAATTATCAGAAAGATTTGTAGCTCTATTGAAGTAATTCTACCAAACACACATCAAAATACATTGTGTTTCCTCTTGAAAATATGGTGCGTACCTCTGAGTTGTTACTATTGAAGGGGCCGAAACACACAGGGAGAATGTGTTTTATGTAAATTAACCTGCTCTCACCAAATTTCAGATTCTGATTTAGTAAATGCAGTCAGTGAGTAAGAAAATAATACTATTACGGTTATGTATCACATTTGAAAGACAGAAACAAATAGTAAAAGAAAACGAGACACATAAATCAAAAGCAATACATAAACACAACAACAAAGATGCACAATATGAACTCATTTTAAAGTATACACAAGTCTGGCAGTGGGACTGAATGAAGTAAAAGAAAAGGCATAAATCAGAGAAAGCAGCAGTAATAAATGAACAGAATAATTTGAAGAAGCTGTCTCAGAACAGAGTGCCACTTTAGGACTGGAGTATGCATGCATTTCCATTTTAATACTGTACATCTCTCTCTGTCTCATCCACCTCTGTGGTTTCAACTCAAACTGAAAATGAGGTTAAACAGCGCTGTCATCTTTACATCAGTGTATCTAATTGCAGTTTGTCACTTTGGGGACGAAATCTATGCCATCTTTTTGGTAACAGCCCATCACACTTCGCTCCTGCGTTAATACACTAGCATTTCAGGATGGAGTTTTGCTCCATTGCACGTGCATGCAAGCAGGACTGAGTCATATTACCCATGATGCTTCTTGTCGATCCGAAGGTGGGGGGTAGGGTATCCCTGGAGTCTCTGTCGCTGGACGGGAGACACCTCTGAGTCACCGCTGTCGCCTGCTGTGATGTCACTGATGCATCATGAAGACGAGATTCCCTGCAGTCAAAATAGCAATGACCCAGCAGCTACAAGGTCAACATGTCAAAGTGGTTCTGATGGGGGTCTGTTTCCTCATGGCCTCATCCTATTCAATGTATTGATTTTTGGAGATCATCAAGAGGGTATAAAAGAGATTACCCTCCCATTCCCGGGCCTCAATCCAAAAGAAAACAAGCATGGTCCTCCACACAGCTACACTGAACAACAAACAGTAGTATAGCATTATGAGATGCTATGAGTGATCCCTTAGCAGCTGCTTATCCATCATCCAGACAAATCAATGGTTCATGTGAGCTTTGGGAGGGCAGTGACTTTGAATATTACATACAATGTTAGAGTGATGAATAACCCTCCCCCGCCGTGTTGTAATCTTACTTCCCAGCCTGCTTCCAACCCTTTGGTGGTATGGATTTGTCAGAAAATGAATTGGCTGCATGTGCACCTTAACAGCTCTCTCCCTATATATTGACTTTCTTCTCCTTCCATTTTGAAATGGAAATGTGGAGTAAAAGGTGCCAACAAGCAGGCATTAAAATAAATCTGTAGCATCACTTCAAAAATATGAATCATGTACTGTAAGCATGTTATATGTGCCGGAATACTGACATGTCCTATTTAGAAACGGATGCATGGATAGGTGCAAAAGACAAGGTGTTGCATGTTAACAGCTTGGAAGCAAAGTCCAAAAGCCACAGACGCGTCAAGAACATGATATGCAATTATAAAAGATAGTAAAAGGTTTTCGTCTCCAGTTCAGAATTGTTTAACCTGTCACAGAGCTCAGACTGGTATGTGTACAGTAGGTTTTAGAATAAATAGGCTTCCTCAATGCAGCTTTATTTTGTGTTTAAAGTCGTTTACCAACAAATCCACCAAAAGACAGGTCCCAACATCATACTGATTAATTGTTATTTTATGATTTCATGACGTGCAATGCCTACATTAGCCTAATTTGAATTAAAAATTGTGTCCTTCCCATCCACGGTGGTTTGATGCTCTGCAGTTGCCAATAGTAACCGAAGCTAGGAAAAATCCACTCGGCAGTGAATGAAGCAGAGAAGTGTTGGGAGAGTGGAGGGCTGTATTATATCACTGAATACTTCAAGGACCATTAAAAGAGTTCTTGTCAATGAAAAGTGTGCTTCATCAATGTGATGTCCGAACAGAATAACAGCACTGGTCACGACCCGGATACTAGACATGTTATTTCTTGTGTAATCTATTATGTAATTATTTGCAACAATGTGTGTTGTTTTTAGACCTAGAGGAAGTGGTGGTGTAGGTCTACACTTACTGTGCACTATTTGTATATTGAAGAAAAGTATTGTAGTTTGGGAAAGGCAAACGTCAAAATATCACAATTTTCAATCAATGTATCACAAGTAGCCTATGAGAGAAATCAGGCCTTTCATTAATAGCAAGCTCCTGTCTGCATTACGTATTTGCAGTTCATCTCTCCACCAGATGATGGCACGATCAGACCTAGGCGGATCTAGTAGAAGAGGGGGCTGGCTAAAATCCTGCAGGAGTCTGCCAATCACAGCTCGAGTTGGAGTCTGCTCGTACTACAGAGCCACACTGAGGTCTCTGCGCGCATCGCATCGCACACTGTTGGGACCTGGGAGAAATCACAAGGGGAGGAAGCCGTGAAGATCTGATACGGTGTCGATTTGCCAAAACAGCACGGACTCTGGTTAATTCCTTCAGGTGGCACGAGCCTCCCGCACGGGTCTATCCGGACCGCACTGCAGCCTGGCTTTGCTCTCCCGCTTGTCAAACCAAAAATCCTGAGTGTAGCCAACGCGCGTACCTGAACGGACAAGAGGGTATTTGTTTGGTTCATGGTGTTTTCAACTGGATTATCACTTTCGATAGATACAAACAAGTGGCCAGCAGCCACCGGAGTCAAACCCAGGGATTACAATTGTTTGTAAAGACTTGGTTGCGCGTGCAGCGTCTGCATGCTCGCCTCCTTTTCAAATCAGAGAGCAAAGTGCTGATAACCCCACTCCACCTGGACTTTCGACCTGAGGAAGGAGCTTCTTGGTGAACACTGCAGTTGACAGGAGCGCGGCACCGACCGAATTGCCACTGGGAAACTGAGAATCCTGCGAAAATGCCTCTCGCTCAGATCGCGGAGCCATGGCCCACCATGGAACTAGTGCAGCTCGAAACGGAGGTAATGAGAGGTGAAATATGTCGACGCTATTTTTTGCATGCATTGTTTGACCAGTTTATTCAATTGAGTTTGATTGGTTCAGGTAAAATGGCGCACAAGGTGTGAGCACCTTAGCCCTCGATTCAAGGTGTTGCCACTTTCTGGAAAAAGTTATTCAAACTATAGCCTTCATACTTAGCTGGGGGAAATAGACTCAATTCATAATTAATAATGTATGTTAAGGGTTTTACATTAGAAATGCAAGACATGATCCCATAAATAGTTTGTCCATTACACTTGAATCCCACACTTTGGAGACTTTCCTCTTTTTTACTGGCAGTCCTGACTATCTTAGGGAAAGTTTAATTGTAACCTCTTCATGTAAGAGTTTTCTATTGGCACCCAAAGTAGATTACAGAGTTAAATTCTGAAATACTTAAATGTGTGGGCTTTCACTGGAGCTTTAGCCCAACTCCATCTTAAAGCTCCATCAGCAGAGAGAAAAACAACCTATGTGTGAACTAAAGGAAATCTCAAAAGTATTCTCACACATGTATCACAAACTTAAAAAATGGGTACATGCAAGCTCTTCGTTTGCTATGTCTACTTTAAGTGAAAGTAATGTGTTGCAGAATTACTCTTTTTCCTTGTTCTTATTCTAAAGATGTACAGTTTCTTTAACACCCACTCTTGTGCCACCAGTCTCATGCTGTGGCAGTGTGTGTATCCTCAGCAGAGGTGAAACACTGCTTTGTGTCTGAATACTAGACAACAGGTAGAGGATGACACTGTTGAGCATGGAAAGATTGAATGTTTTCCAGAGCTTTTAGGGTAAGGGAAGCAATAGAGATGTGTGATGCTTGTGTATCCAGACCCCTTTTATTCTGATGGCATTATTATTCATGAACTCTTCAATTGGCTCTTGAACAGGCTGGTTGCTTAGTGAATATGCATCTATCAAATGATGGTAATGATGAGCAGATAGTGGCTGCGCAGATGCAATCGGTTTCACATTTGGCTACACAGGTTTCCAATATAATCCGTTTTCCTCGTTTCGAATACAATATCCGTAGGGTCAGCTAAGGAAATCCTCAATTGAATTAGTCATTAGACAAAGCAGGTGAAGCGAGCTGTCATGGCAATGTTTTGTATGTCTGATCTCACTGATAAGCAGCTCAGCACACAATCACATTGTCCTCAATCAGCTGTACAAGAGATCAGTCTGATTATAAATTAGGCTTATTTTCCCATCTCTCTGTCTCGATAACCTCTCTGGTTTGATGACGAAGCTGAGGAAATCATTTCCAAGAATGTAATAAAAACTGAGTTTTCTCATAACATGTGAGGCCTAATTCATGAAAGACAAGTACTCATTACGCTATGCAATTAATCAGTGGAGCACTTCCACTATTGGGGAACTTGCAATATATTCTTTATTGTGCTCTTGCAAACACAGTTAATTGAAGATCAGTCCGATGTTATTACCAGTGCTTTTATAATGAATGAGTCAACCTTCAAATAGTGCAGAAAGAAGCAGTTTTACAACACTGTTGTTCAGTTTTTTTGTTCACAAACTCTACTATTTACAGAATTCTTCAGCATATGAGTTGGCTGAGTAACGTATAACAGCTGAACAGATGGTGTTGCGGAGCTGTGAAGAGTGCAGGTTTATTACTGTAAGAAATACCCTGCCTTGGGAATGTGTAATGGTCACACATCTTTGGTAACCAGTGTGTGAGCTCATTGCTAAAGATAGAGTATAGTTATCAGCCTATATATATATATATATATATTATAAGGAGGGATTACTTTTGGCTGCCCATGTCCACCAAAATCCAGTATCTGTAATTGATTTGAATGCACCAGTCACAGCCAGTCAATGTGGGATCTGTGCCATTTATCTCTGTCACCAACCTACCAGCCAGCTGCACCCTTGGGTTCCTGATGGCGGAGAGAGACGGCTCAGGGCTCAGATTGATTGAGCAGAGAGAGCGCGACTGAGTCTGGAGGCGTGCTAGCGAACATGTTGGGAGAGTCAAGCGGGTGGCACAGCCGAGGGTCTGCTTGTCATACAGACAGATGGGACAGACACTGAGACAAACTTTTGGCAGATTTGGAAAATAAAGGACAGAAGATACATAATCCATCAAAGAAACCATTCTCTTCTGCATTTATTCAAACAGAAAGTGTGTTGTTGTGTTTTGGCAGCTGATGGGTTTGTTTCCCAATCACTCTTTGTGCAAGTGCTTTTGTTTGAAAGGTGTCATGAAGGGAACATTTAATATAGTGGCTTTTGTAGTTGAATCTGGTGCAAAACAAGCGTTCAATGAATAGAGCTATTCAAATTAGATGGATCGAGCCCTTTTATTCATCATCAAACCATATCTGTTATGAATTAACTTCTCAGTGAATAATTTCTGATAAAAGCACTTCAACAAATCATCACCATCCTGTCCCAGTTGAGTCACTACCACCTGCATTGGTCATGCACGTTAGTAAAGTTCCTGCAAAATATCTGAATCATGCTTCTGTCAGTGTTTAGTTGTTTCAGATTTCCTCCAAAATATTAATGGATCCAAATCCTGTAAATGGAAAGTTTAAATGTTTTAAAAGTGGACCAGTACCCTATGTTTATCCATAGTCAGTGTATTACCTACAATAGATGGCGGTTGAGGATGCTGGTCTAGCGCTCCTGATCTGATTTTTTTGTTTTGTTATCGAGGGACTTTTGTGAAACCTATAGAAAGCACCAATAACGCACATTGACACAAACTGACTCACCATTGAGGCAGCAGTAGACTAACAACCATTGTTCTGTGAGGTCAAATGATTGTTTCTGTGAAAGGATTCTAGTGGCTTTGATAAGAGCATAGATGGGTAAACAAACAAAGCAAACACTTGAACTTCATCTTTGATTTCTGCTTGTTTTTGTATCTTGATGATACCTTTTTAGCTTGTCTCTGTCCACAACCTGTGTTTTGTTCAATTTGATTGTGTTTGATGGCCACTGATGAATTTTTTCTATTATATTAATTCCTAATGCATTATTTTTCCTTTCAGCCTCTCTTTTTATCGCTTTGAACTGAACTGGCCACTTAGCTTTTCAACTTGAAATTCTATGTGAAATCTCAGCCGTATAACATTTTCAATCGATTGGTATCTAGACCCAAGTCCACCAATTGTGGCTTAAAGTCATATACATCTATTGTCAGAAGAGAAGAGACCTAGCCAACTAAAAGGAAAAAGTTGCCTCAAAGAGAGACAGCACAAGCCAAGACGTTAGGAGCAGGATTGTACACGCCTTGATGGCAGAGGAGAAAGATTGCTTTTCATTTTTCGGCTATTAGGTAACAAGCCTTGTAGAGGAGAAAGTAGGGTTGACATAAGGAATGTGTGCCATGTTTGCAAACCAGGCGTGGTCAGCAGTGCACACTTTAGTACCTATGTGAGTGTGTGCAAGCTGTGTAGTTCACATTTGTGCTTTTTCTCTTTTGTGTGCGTGCATGCAGGTAAAGGTTTAGCTGCAGCTAATCTGGGTGTGACGTGTTGAACACCTGAGCAGAGCTGTGGGAGTGGAGCAGGGCTGAGTGGGCATGTGATAACAAAAACCTTTGCCTGATGGCAGCCCTGATAAAAAAAAAAGTCTTTCTTTTGAACTTCAGAGTTAAAAGTTAACCGGTGGGTTTGCCTATGTTGGGAACGAGCCTTTTTGCAGATATTAAACTAGACTGCTAGAAATACCGCTCGTTTATTTTCTGGCATTGACCTGCTGTCAGTTCTCACTGGCGGGTGAGATTACAAGAAGTGTACACAGATAGTACATGCACAGACAAAGGAATGGTTATTGTATTTCTTAGTTGCCTAGTTACAACGGCATTGCTGCTCTAATCATGCTGTTAAAACACAGATTTATCTATCAAACACACACACACAGCGTCAGCGCTCTGAGATTGTTTACCTTACCTAATCATATAGGAGTCCTGTGAGAAATTAAAAGGTTTTCCGTCTGGCTCTGTCAGGTTTAATACGTTGGTCTATACATCTTTTTACAGCATGCTTGTGGCCTGAAATGTCTTCCAGTAAATTGTGTGCATATTGTATCGCTTATTTCTATACGTGTATCTGCACAGTATAGTTCATGCACTTCTTGGGTTGTTTTCTAAGTCACGGTTGTTTATTAACTGATTCGTCTTGATATGTATGGGGCTGTGCATGCCTGTGCTCTCATTCAGGAAGCCCAAGGGAGCGAAAGCACCATTAACTGGGCCACTTGGGTCAACCATGCAAAGCTAATGAGGTTGAAATGTGTTGAGCAGTAACGCCGGGAATGAATTGTTGACCACACACACAGACACTCAGACAGTGTCACTTACACATTTAAGATTCACACCATTGGCTTCACAGCACTGAGTTAAAGAAAGGCTATCACACACCCCTGACTGATGGCATATAAGTAGAGAGGAAGGGAAGAGTAATTATGTGGACTGATTTGGGAAGATTTCGATTTGAGATTGAATTGATCTGCAAGGCCCATTGTTACAACCTGGGCTTCCTCTCCTTTGAAATGACTACACCTAAGACACATCTGTGCATGACTTCGAAATGCACTTGGCCGCTTAATTGTTTCCATTTCTCCTGTCACCTCACATTATAGCTTTTATTGCTGGCACAGTTTTCCCAAATGTAATTACCTCTCTTGAGATCATGATTAAAGTCCAACCAGATGAACTATTTGTTTATAAAACTGCCCGAGCGAGGTTTTCCCCTTTTGAGTATACACGAGCTTATCAAAGCCGCTTCCTTGTCATTGCCTGGGCTTCCTTTATGTCTTGCACTGCTGTATAGCCTTCTGTTTTGTGTTTGATTGTTATGGCCACTGCTTGTCATTGTGTGGACTGCCTGTTATATTTTGTGCAGTCTTGAGGGAAAAGGGCTTGGAGGAAGGAAGTGAACATCAGGGTCGCCCCTCTATAATGGGAAAACAAAGTGAAAACAGAAAAAGGGGTTTGGTAGTTTTTTACGATGTTCTCACACTTGGCCAGATCATTTGACTTTGATTTATTTGACAATTGTTAGGGATCAGTTGTCATCCAATATATTTATGTTCATGTTAAGGTCAATGTACTATTAACAGGGATTAGTCAGACTGTGTGTTTAAGGATATTGTATCGTAGTCAGGGTTTCCCACACATAGACTATACTTGGGCGGGCCGTCCAGGTATATTAACGGCCGCCCAAGTATATTTCGCGACCCATTTAGGTATTTATTTATTTTATTCGTCATTGACCACGACGTCATCTGCGATCGATTAACTTGTGGACAATGATCCCTCGCTCCCTTGCTCTGATCTCGCCTCCTTCTGGCCTGTTAAGTGGCCTGCCTCACACAGGGTGACTGGCTGTCCACATGATGTGGACTGCCGACATGGCCACTGTCATACAGATCATAAATCAAAGCCCTTGATTGGTCTCTGTGTGTCATTCAAGCTCGGGAGAACCTCAGCTCAGGTGAGGTAAAGGACTCTCTGAGTGTTTAGATAGTTAACTTAGTCTAAGTTCTCAGTGGGTCTCAAACGGTGTGGTCACCATTTATGTAAACACATATTTCCATTTGAGAGGGTAGTGATTGGTCTAATGGATAGTGAGGTGGGCTGAAGATCGGAAGGCTGTGAGTTCAAATCCCGCCAGGAACACCACCACTAGTGTGCCCTTGAGTAAGGCACTTAGCCCTTAGTTACTCCAGAGAGAATGTCCCTGTAATCGGTCATTATAAGTCGCTTTGGATAAAAGCGTCAGCTAAATGAAATGTGATGTGATTAGTAAAATATGCATGAATAAATAAATAAAAAGTTAACTAGGTGAAAAAAGGTAAGATACACTTTTAAAACTTGTTGAGAGAAAACTAGTCTTTGCTGCTGCCTCAAAGAGGAGCAGGGGGAGAGGAGGGAGACAGGAGAGGCTGATTCAGGAGCACAGACACACTCCCAACTATAAATGAACCAAAAATAAATTAATAAACAAGTTTCAGTGTTTTTTTCATATTGGAAATGGTATGTTATTGGTTATGGCCATGATTTTATGATTATTGAAATGTGTAGTTCTGTTTAATATAGGTGTTTCCATAGATCTAGTCTCTTTATTTTCCCCTCAAAATGCACCAGATTGATGCATTTAACTCCAAAATAAAATCTTACCGGGGGGGCATGCCCCTGGACCCCCCTAGAGGATTTGAGGTCGACCTCCACTAAAAATCACATGGATAGGTTCCTAAATACATTTATTTTTTAAATAGTATCCATTTCCATATGTTGATGTGTGGGTAGTAGATTTAAACTATAGGGCTATCATTATAGGCCCTGCCTGTACCTGTTCGCTCTGCCATCGCGTGAAGGGACTGCTAACAAGCGACCAACAGAAAGGTTGATGTTAATGTTGTTGCACGTCACCTCAACCCCCCCCCCCCCCCCCCCCACTACCACCACCCCCCCACTACCACCACCCCCCCAAGTATATTTCAGATGTATAAGAGTAAATATGAATTTCTATTTTTTTTGGTATTGTTTGTAAATAGGTACTATGCTAATGCTGATAATACAAGTCATGATTTGAAACATTGAACCAAAAATTGCATTTGACTTTTAATAGGTTGTTTGGATGGTTTCAGGGCTGCTTTCCTGGATCCTATCTTAGTTTAAACAGTTTACACAAAGAAGCAATCTCTTTGGCTAAATGGCCAGGAGTCCAGAGGGAAAACAAACCTTTCCTTTGTCCCAAGTGTAAATTACTACAATCCATTCCCCACACGATTACTCCCACCTTACTTATTGTGAATCAAATTGTCATCATGATGGCCCCTACTTTTAAACAATTATATCATATCTAACAAAATCACCACTTTCTTCTGCTTACCATTTTCCTTGTCCTATCTGGCTGTGTGTGCAACAGAACCATATACACATCTAATTCTGTAACATAAAATCAAAGTTAGCCACCCATTTCTACCATATAATAACATGTTGGTTTTCTAAAATAGCCTTTAGCCGGCCTTTGTTTTACAAATAACAATGATTACCCTTTGTTTTGCAAGCCGTACCTACTGGGGAACGATGTGCATTTGTGTGTCGGCCTTAGATTATTAGGTTTGCCAGCAGAAGAGCAAAGTGCTGGAAACAGTGGACCACCCACACAGTCTTGCAAATATTCTCTTGTATCTCTCTCTCGCTCTTTCTGTGTGTCTCACACACACACACACGTGATATTGTCTCTGTCACACACTCTGACTGTTTCTCACATTTGCTTTCTCAACAGAATGGGCAGAGCACTGCTGAGGATGGAGTCACGCCTGCTGTCAAGGTACATGGCATCTCTGGAACACACATACTCACAGAAGACACACACTCAGACAGACAAATGTGACTCAATATTCAACAGCGTAACATGCAATACATTACATCGAAGACGCACCGCATAGCATTCTTTGGCTGTTGTGCTTTTCTATGGAGGAAAGCAGCAGAAGGCAACATTCCATTAAAGGGCAAATTTGTGTGTGATCTTCATTTTGAGTCATCACTGCCAAAGGAAGAAAAAGAAAGACGTCATGCACATGTTTGCGCTAATCTGTGCGTATAGTTATTCATTTAGCAGATGAATCGATAGCCCTCAGAGGGCAATTAGCTGGCTGGAGTTTAATGTGTTGACTCCTGTCTCAGTAAGGCTGATCGAGCGACAGCCACTGTGTATAGTAATGTGTCTGGGTCAATATGACGGGGCCATAGTGTTCTGCATGTCCTCAGCTGTCCTGTTAACATACAGAGGAAAATACACGCAAGCTTGCAAATACAAAAACACACACTGAAAATCACCGAGTCAGCCCTTTCCTGCCTCCTGGCTGGCCTCTGGGCTTTATTGTCCTGCTCTGAAACGGGATCCTGCTTCCTCCTGTAGACCATTACTGTCCCGCCATGTAACAGAGGACAAGGAACTCTACCTTCTCGCTTAGCCTCTTTTTTTTTAAATTGTATCTGCCCTCCCTCTGTAGGGTGATAGAATCTGAAGAGCGAGGTCCTCCTTTCTTCCAGCTCAGAACAATGTGTGGTGACTGAGAGAGAGTTGAGTGCGCTGGATGAGAAATAAGTGTTTCAGTAAAAGGAGTCGGCACACTTTGTTGATCAAAGCCATTAATATCTGATTTCTGATGACTTAGGAGAATCGACAGTATGGTTGAGATCAATATCACAGTATCAATGTCTAAACATATATTAAATGCCTAATGAAAGCAAAAATCAATGTTAAAAACAAAGTACTTCCATTGCTTATATGAGTTTGTATTACTTATTGTTTAACAGCATTAACTCTATACCAATTTTGATATCCTTGTAATGGTAATTTTTTCAGTACCATTTTTTATTTTATTTTAAAACCAATTTTCCCGAAAAAGTCCCCTGTGCAATGTGAGGTCTATAGGATCCTTTTTGTGTAGGATAATATAATGCTGGACACTGTCAATAAAAACAGAGTTAGCAGCTTGTCATGATAAATGTGAAAAAGAAATTGGTCACATCATGGCAGATAACCGATCCGCTGAATAGGTTCAAGGTTCTTTATTTGACTTCAAATGTATAAGAGTAAATATGAACATGACTCATACGAACATAGCTACAGTGTAGTTATGCCGATGAAAATCTTGTGTCACAGGCTTCTCCAACAGAGCAACACAAAACACAGATAAACAGAAAAAATATAGTGCAAGTAAATAGTAATACAAAAAGAAAAATTGTTTAAAGAAAGTGAAATAGTGCAATAAGAGTCTATATGCAAGTTATTGAAATAGGATATATAGATAAATAATTTTAAAATAATTTTTAAGTAGCAGCCAGATGAATATTAGGGATGTTGTTTCAACTGTTCAGGTGTTTAACAGTCTTATTGCCTGTGGGATGAAACTGTCCGAGTCTGGTGGTTTTAGTCCGGATGCTAGGGTCAGTATTGGCGCTGATACAAGAATATTGGATTTGTACATCCCTAATCATATCTTCACAATATGGCTCTGCTAAAAGTCGATTATATTCAATCATCGCACAGGCCTGGTTAGCGCTGTAATGACATGCGTTACATGTTTAGCTAATTGATTGAGGACTATCGCAGCAATCTGATTGGTTGTGTAATCTTGTTAATTAAGATGACCTTCAAAAGGGGTTTAGGGATTTAGTGCCTGTGATTCTACAAGAGAGCTAGCTCATGTTTCACAAACAAAAGGATAGATGGAGCAAGGGAGCATAATATGATGATGCATTTTGACATGCATTCAATGAGAACAAGTCTAAAAAAAGAAAGAAAAGTCTGGCACAGTGATGCATCGGATCACCAGACCGTTGTGGCACCATGCGGGCGAAGCAGTTGTAACCGTGCGCTATACGGTGATCGATGCCGAGCTGCTGTTTAAATGCTGGGAATTTGATAATGGCGGCTGTTATCTACTCTAGCCATGGGAGTTACCTGGCTCCAGCAGACCTAATGGGGGGAACTGAGGGGGAGAGAGGGGAGAGAGGTAACGATTGAAGGGAGGGACAGAGTGCCTGCCCTTTCTAACGTTTGAACCTGAAATGGGCTTCAAAACAGTGAATTGATTGTCCTCAGCTGTGTGTGTGTGTGTGTGTGTGTGTGTGTGTGTGTGTGTGTGTGTGTGTGTGTGTGTGTGTGTGTGTGTGTGTGTGTGTGTGTGTGTGTGGTGTGTGTGTGTGTGTGTGTGTGTGTGTGTGTGTGTGTGTGTGTTGTGTGTGTGTGTGTGTGTGTGTGTGTGTGTGTGTGTGTGTGTGTGTGTGTGTGTGTGTGTGTGTGTGTGTGTGTGTGTGTGTGTGTGTGTGTGTGTGTGTGTGTGTGTGTGTGTTGCACCACTAATGAGCCATCTTCTGGTTTTTGACACTTCTATCTTTCTCTCTGGCTTTTTACATGCTGTAGAAAAAGGTGAACACTCAAAAGCGTATTACTTGGTTTGTAGTGCCACCTTTGTCCTCCCATGGTTTCACTGAGCCATTAACCTGAGGCAGTAGGTTGGCACCATGTCAGACTACTGTTCACATGGTCAACTCAGTGACCCTGTCTTTCTTCTTTAGACTCTTTTGTCATCTGCTTTATGATAGACAACACAAACAAATGGAATGAAACAATGTAGAAAGCTGCCTAGGGCTTTAACTAAGGGTCATCATTCATACAGGAGATTATTATTTTTTGTTTTATGTCATTGAGCCTAATTAGATGATTAACAAAAGGGGTTTTGTTAAATGATTATAGTAAGAAGAAATAAGAACAAACTACATTTTCCTGAAGTTTCTAAAAATAATATTAAGATACTTACTAGGGCTGTGCAATTAATCGTATTTTAATCGCAATTACGATTTTTGCCTGCCACAATTACGAAAACAACATAATCGAAAAAACGATTATTTTTGCTTTGCTAGGTTGTGACAGTGCACTGTAACATATTTTATATCATTTATTTTGGTCTAATTTATTTTTATTTATCATATTAATATATGTTTAGTAGCTTGCGGAAGTGCGCTCCAAAATATTTGTTGATCTTGTTTATTGGTATATATTATTTTGATATTATTTATTTAAATGTATTATTTATTTTTGTATTGGTTTTTCAGTTGAATTATACGTTCAGGGTAATCAACAGTTAAAAAAATACTGTTCAAATTATTATTTGTATTTATTTTAAAGTTCAATAAATGGATATTTTCAAAGTCAATGAATAATCGTATTTAATAACCGTGATATCAATCATTAACCAAAATATTCGTGATTATGATTTTTGCCATAATCGCACAGCCCGAATACTTACTCTTCGCACTTGTCAGAAGGTTTAAAGGGAGATATTTATTTATAATCACCACTCAAACATTTTTGAAACCAATGCCTCAGAGCACAATATGTTTGCTACTTTTTTTGCCCAAAATGTAAAGACATTTAATTCACCTTGGAATAAAACTGAGAAATTGTAAATCCTCAGCACTAGTAAAAGTCCTGTATTAGAAGTTAAACGACTTCATTAACTATTTCTCCATTTTATTACTTATTTCTCTGTTTGGCTCATCATATCTGTGCAATTTTTTAAAAGAGATAAAAACTTGAGAATAACTTAGATTTTGCAGTAGCGGTTGGCAGCAAATTGCCTCTTGTTATGTGTATTGAATTGATGTGATCAGCCAGCAGAAACGGTAACCCGAGAGGACAATCATCTGATCCGTCTCATCACAGTGCAATGATATTACCCAGCAATTTTCTCTCTGGCAATAAGCCTGCCTTGCAGTGGTCTGCTCTCACAAAAGTGTGGAAATGGGCCTATTTCTATCAACAAATCACATCAACCTCCATGCCCTTGAGGATACCAGGGAGACAGATTTGTTCCAAAAAACTAAAACAATGGATAAGACAGTATTCAAGATATATGTGCTACAGTACAGGAAGGCAGAGACATATATCTGAGACAGAGTGAGAGACTCCGGCTGTCTACCACGTGACTGCAGGGAAGTGAAAATGTGTCCGCCAAGGAGGCAAAAGTCACCTTACTTGATAACATGAATCAGGCCAAAAACATTATTTTGAAATTCTTGGAGTGATATTCAATCAGGGTGCTGATAGCAACAGTTTTTAAAAAATGTGTTTCTTAAGCAAAACAGCAATAGATATCTTGTTACAACCTTTCCATTGTTAATATTTGCTGGTTTTCTCAGTTTTTTAACATAATTATCAATGGAATATTGTCTTTTTTGAGATATTTGCAACATTGACTTTGACTCCTCAGGAAGTTTGACATTTACTTTTTACATTAAATACTTGATTTGTTAGTAATCCAATAAGGACTTCTGATTGATTTTCTCTAGCAGAATTGATCTTATTAGGATGATAAGTGTGGATTTAACAATCCCTTTTCAACAACATTAGAGAATAATTCATGTGTGGGTAGTGAAAAAACTCAAGACAGCCAACCCCGAAGAAACAGAAGTAGACGTTTCAGAGTTTAAAAATACACCACCATCAGATAGGAGACAAGTTTCCTCTTTCAAGGAAGCAGATCATTTACATTGAGCTGATAAAAGGAAGAGAAAATCAGAGGAGGCACAGAGCTGCTGTTGCTCATCAATTCAACTCCAGATTAGCATCTGCTCAAATCTGACTGACTACAGACCTGATGAGGCTCGCAGGAGGTGATTCATTCAGCCCTGTTGTAATTAACCCAGCCAAATACGTGCCTGCCTTCTAAATGAAGTGACAATAGTCTCTCTTGTTAATTGTGTTTTTGCTTTGTTAGTGAAGCTGAGTCAGTTAGTTGGTCTAAATGAATGACTTGT